GTAAGAAAAGATTAAACAGAAGATGGCTTCTAATCAACCAAGCAAAAATTATGAGTTTTTGTTAAATATATTCACCTCCTAGTATACCTAGCTTGCTGCCTACCTAATAAAGAAGAGTAGGTTGGTTAATAACTTAATAACCAACCTACTCTTCTTCCAAAGTAAAAAATCCACCTGCTTTCCTCCATAGAGCTTCTATGTTTCTCTTTGTCAAATTGTTTTCCTAACATGTCATCTACCTTCTAATATAGTACTCTTTTCTAAATCTTTCCAAATCATTCACTTTAAAAGTATTCCCTGATATAGGCTGAGAAAATTCTAACACTGTCTGTGTTCAACCAGAAACCAAACTTGAGATAAACTATAATTGAAAATAGCCCAAACCAGACTTTGTAAAACCTAGGTTCTGTTTAAAAGGTGAGGGAATACTGCAGTATTTGACACCGCACTGAAAACAAAGTTGATTCAGATAGTTGAATAGGGTAAATTGGTACCATCCTCTACACCAGGAGTCAACAAACATTTCCTACAAAAAGTCCAGTGAGAAAATATTTTAGATTTTGCCACCAAGAGGCAAAATCAAAGATATCATGTAGGTATTAATACAAAGAAAGAGAAAACAAATATTCACAAATTTTTTTTTGGCAAATTTAGAATATAATAATAATAATTAGGTATAATTTATTAAGATACCAATCCAATAATGAGAAGAACGGAAAGTTTTTGAGGATGATAATATTCCTCTTAATTGGAGTTCAAAGTTAGTACTTATCAAAAACAACTGTAAATATTTACCTGTTAATGAGATTTTATGTATTTCATCTTTGTCAATGTCTTTTTACGCAGCTTCCGATATCAATCCATGAGCATATGATTTTAAATAGGTATATTCAGCACTTAGCAGGCAGAGTGCTGCTGCATAATAAACACAGTGCTTTGCCATCTAAATCAATAGCAAAATAATTCACACTCTGCTGTGCCTTACAAGTTTGACATTCGAAATCCATTTTCTTGTTTTGACATCATCGACATGACTGATAATAAATGCTACAGTACACTGATATGTGTGGCACTCAAAATGCCATTGAGTTATAACTGTGTCGTTGTGATTTGTACCGTGTGAAGTAATAGTGTGAAGCAGTGAGGGTGCCACATAGTCTCTGTCATAACTGCTCTACCCTGCAGTGGGAGCAGGAAATCACCCATAGACAACAGGTAAAAGAAAGAGCATGGCTGTGTTCCAATAAAACTTTATTTATGTACTCTGATATTTAAACTTCACATCATTTTCATGTGCCACAATGTATAATTCTTCTTTATTTTCAATCATTAAAAAATATAAACAGCATGTGTAGCTCAAGGACAGCACAAAAATAGGCAGCAAGCAAATTTGCCTCCAGGCTACTCATGCTCTGCAAGATCCCCAAAAGTTAACTTTTCCAAATAGATGGTGACCATTCTCCAATCAAGAAATTCCATTACAAAAGCTAAATATGCTCTGACTTACAAATTTTGTGAATGTTCTGAGAAACATCAGGAGTGAGGTAGGGCTTTAGATTATAAGACTATATTTTACACAATCACAGAATTCCTATTATTTTAGAATGTCTGCTATCTGTAATTTACCATACTTAAACTATTACTGTGTTGATTCATAACTCTGTTTAGCTTGCCACAGATCATAGATACCTTATTTATCTAAAATGACCAGAAATACACAAAAGACACTTAAATAAATTCTCTCTCTCTCTTTTTTTTTTTTTTTTTTTTTTTTTTTGAGACAGAGTGTCATTATGTCATCCTCGGTAGAGTGCTATGGTGTCATAGTTCACAGCAACCTCAAACTTGGGCTCAAACAATTCTCTTGCCTCAGCCTCCCAAGTAGCTGGGACTACATGTGCCCGCTACAATGCCTGGCTATTTTAAATTTTTTTTTGTAGTTTTTGGCCAGGGCTGGGTTTGAACCTGCCACCTCCAGCATATGGGGCTGGCGCCGCCCTACTCCTTTGAGCCACAGGCGCCTGGGCTATTTTTAAAGGTGAGGTTTCACTTTGGCTCAAGCTGGTCTCAAACTCCCGATCTAATTTACCCATCTTGGCCTCCCAGAGTGCTAAGATTATAGGTATGAACTACCAGGCCTGGCCCAAATATATTCTTCTAATGTTCAAAATTTTATAGACTTGATTTTTTCAAATTATATGATGAATTAAAATTACTGACTCCCAAATTACTCAATTAAATAGTTATTAGAAGATGGAGAACTAGAAACAGCCTACACTCATCACTCTCAAAGAAGAGGATCAAAGGTTATAGGTCGAGGTTCACCTTGGATCGGCCATACCTGAGAGAACAATGTGAATTATCAGAGAAGCCAGTGAACACACCCAAAGCAGGGGAGGGAGAAGCAGGGGGATTTGCTCTGTAAGACCTGAAGGTAACTAGGGGAAGTGTCCCCCTGTGGGGAGAGGTTAGGTGAGAGAGTCCCAGGGCTCCGCACTCCTCTCCTGGAAGTGGCAACCTAAGCTGCGAAGAGGCTCCCCCACCACAGCAGGCGTCCAGACTGATTCGGGTGCTGTTTGGAGACTGCAGAAGCACTGCGCCAGACAGTGGGCACAGTGGGGTCCCGCCATCATCTGGTCACAGGTCCTGGCAATGGACACCACTCTGCACTCTCAGACCTACAGCGCCCAGTCTGCAGAGGGGTTGGCTCCACCGTGTCTGTCTCCCCATTACCACCTTCAGGCCAGGGAAGTAGCAGGTTGGCCGCAGAAGGGGGGGTCTTTTTATATGCACTGCTACTGAGTACCAGGCACCCATCACATCCCCTTTCTGGTCACCTCCCAGGCATCTGGATGAGGCAGACACCCACCAGCCATCAGCTTCTGCTGCTACCATCTCACCAGTTCAACAGCACTGCTTCTGCCACCTGAGTAGCACGGCAGCAGCTGTCACAGTCAGACCTGGGCAGAAGGAAAGAACCAGCCACTGCAATTTCCTGAAAGGGCATCACATGTCTCCCCTGAACCACTGAGGGTGACAAAGTGAGACTCTATCTGCAAAAAAAAAAAGGAAAATTCATGCCAATTTTCTTGCATCAGTAGTATATAAGTGTTTTTGTTTTTTACAATATTATGAATACTGAATATTGTATCTTTTTATGTTTGTTAATTTTAGTAGGTGAAAAATAACTTACTGTAAATTTAATAACATTTAAATAATTCAGAATCTTGCTGGAATCATTTTTTTCTTGATGAACTTCTGGGTTTTGTTCATTTTTATATTAAGTTATCTTTTTTCTAAGAGTTTGTCTGCATTAAGAGTGCTTTTGCTAGGAATTTACTATTTTGTTATGAAACTGCAAATATTTTTTTCAGTTTGACTTTTTTTTTTTTTTTTCAGATAGAGTCTCACTATGTCGCACTGGGTAGAGTGCTGTGGCATCACATCTCACAGCAACCTCTGACTCTTGGGCTTAAATGAGTCTCTTGCCTCAGACTCCCAAGTAACTAGGACGACAGGTGCCCACCATAATGCCTGGCTATTTTTTTGTTGTAGTTGTCATTGTTGTTTAGCAAGCCCTGGCCGGATTTGAACCTACCAGCCCTGGGGTTTGTGGCTGGAGCCTTAACCGCTGAGCTTTGGACAGCTCAGCCTCACAGTTTGAGTTTTGCTTTTGATCTCTTTAACATCAAATAAATTAAAATTTTTATAATTAGATTATTTAATATTTCCTTTTGTATCTTTTGAGTTTCATGTCTTGCTTTGAAAGGTTGAAGATAAAACTTTTAATGTGGGTATAGCCATGTGTGTTTTTGTGTTAGAAATATTTTCATTAAGGACTGAATGTATTTTCTACTACTATAAAGTATTTGCCTATGTTTGTGTATTAATTTTTTGTATTAAACTGTCTTCAAATCCATATAGTAATTACTACTAAAGCTTTATTGCAATATGGTACAATAGAAATAGCTTACCATCAATTTTAACTGCCACAGGGCTGAGCCTCACTTTCTTTTCTTTAAAATAAGTCTAATAATATCTATATTATAGGATTTTCTTAAAGATTAGATAAGATAACATACAAATAATACCAATAATGCCATTTAGTCAGTGCTATAGGGCCAGTCATTATACACACACACACACACACACACACACACGTGTGTTCATTTGATCCTCAAAACAGTGCTATGAGGCAGCTGTTACTGTACTAGAATTAGAAATGAGAAAATAAATTTAATGACCCTAAGATTTTGACTGGCTTCTCAGATTAAAAAGTGGAAAAGCCAGGGCAGTGCCTGTGGCTCAGTGGGTAGGGCAACAGTCCCACATACCGAGGGTGGCGGGTTCAAACCCAGCTCCGGCCAAACTGCAACAAAAAATAGCCAGGCATTGTGGCCGGTGCCTGTGCTCCCAGCTACTCGGGAGGCTGAGGCAAGAGAATCACCTAAGCCTGGGAGTTGGAGGTTGCTGTGAGCTGTGTGACACCATGGCACTGTACCAAGGGTGATAAAGTGAGACTCTGTCTCTACAAAAAAAAAGTGGAAAAGCCAGAATGTGAGTTCATGTTTTTCTGAAAACAAAAGCACTGTCTTTTCACTCTATGTTTTTCCTCAGACATGGCAAGTACTTGCTTATTTTCGTTCTCTTCTTTTTTCTTTCCCTACTTTGTGTTTCCATTTCTCTTTTTTTATTTGATGAAATAGAGATTCTGTAGACCAGCATTGCCCAAGGGTAGTAAGCTATGATTATTGATACATTCTGTTTTGCAGCATCTGATAAGGGAGCCACTAGCCAGCCACAGGTTTCTGTTTAGTACTTGAAATGTGGGTAATGCAACCAAGAAACTGAAATTTTCCTTTAGTTTAGTTTAAATCAAATTGTCCGGCTACTGTTGTGACATCACAGCCTTAGAAGATGTATGAATGCCCTTTTTGTATGTATAAAATGAATGTAAGTATTAACCTGTTGATTGATATCGAGGAAACTGTTCGTTCTAGGTTGAAAACTTTAGCAGAAGAACTTATGCAGACACAGCAGACGCTTTTAAACAAGGAAGAGGCAGTCCTGGAGTTAGAGAAGAGAATCGAAGAATCTTCTAAGACCTGTGAAAAGAAGTCTGAGTGAGTACAAGAAAAACAAGTTGAAGGAAGAAAGTTTAATTGATGGAATTTTACAGGAATATTTCAGTTACATGGTATTGTGGATATGACATTTTTAGAAATCAAAATTTGTATTTTAAATATAAACTTGGTATAATTGAGTTAATTTCTAGGACACTAGAAAAATGATTCTGAATTTTTGTGAATATAACATCTTGATCATATGTCTCAAGGTCTTAATATATGGAACTATTTTCCAAAAATCCTTTTTTAAAAGCCTGTCTTTATTTTTGTACATTCATTTTTTAACACACCCACTGTAAATCTCTGTTAGAAAAATGGACTCTACTGTGTTAGAAGGAAGCAAACAAACTGAACAATAGAAAATAGAGAAAAATCACATTGAGATTTGCTGTGCTGTTTTGTCTTGCTGATTTCTGGATTTGTAAATATCTTCCTGAGTTCTCTGACTTTACTTGTTTTTTACTGACTTCACTATGCTTTCTACTGCTTCAAAATTTAATTTTTATTTAAAATTCAGATTTCTACTCTGACTTTGGTAATTGTTTGCATCTATGACGGTGGTTGCCAGTGTGTGTGGGGGTTTTCCAATCTTGACTAGACCATATAAATTTCTTGCTGTCATACTCTCGCATACACCCACACTGGTTTGATTTATCAAGACTTAAGGATTTGTGATGTGTGAGATTCCTCAGTTCTGTACTTGTTCTTACTTTTTGTACAACTTTTCAGATACTTTCTGCTTCTCTCAAAACACATCTTATCTCCCTCATCATATTTAGCAAACCTGTCTCAGAAAAAATTAGAAGCATTAGGTGACAAGTCCCTTATTCTCTGTGGCTGGAAATGCAAACCCACCCACATTTGTATCCACTCTCTTTCATATTCCCACACAGAGGAACTGTTCTTTGTCCTCAGTCCATTGCTTGTCCTTGTTTTTTGTATTCTGTTGTCTCTTACTTTCTCAGAAATTTTACATTATTAATATATATTGTATTCACCTTTCTTCTCAGCTGGGTCCTCCTGCTTACTTTTTAAATATACTTAAGTATTGACTCCTAAAAACAATCTCCATTTCTCTACCCACTCCAAATAACTCTTTTTTAGTCTCTATATTTCCCCAAATACTCTCTTTGCCTTTTGTTTTCTTCGTTTAAACTTGTTCTAAGAGTGATTATAGTCACTGATTTTCTCAATTTCCTCTTAGTTTTTAAAGTAGCTATATCTGGTTTGTGCTCCATAGCTATGGAAATAGGTATCTCTAAGATCACCACTGGTTCTGTGTTGTTAGCTAAATTTGGCAACTATCTCATTTGACTTCATAATATATCTCACTTTGCTGACTTCAAGTTTCTTCTTTTCCATTGGCCTTTGGAAGTTAAAATGTTAGATCTTACTCCTCCCTGGTGGCAACTCCTTTGCAAATTCATTCTCCTCTGCTCAACCAATCCATTTTGGAGTTACTGAAGGTATGGCCCTAGGCTATGTTACTTCCCTTCCTGAACTCTGCAGAGATGATCTCCTGAAGATGACATGACCCATTTATTTCTCTCAGTTTTTCTTCTGAATTCTATGGCCATGTAATCAGTTGCCTACGTCACATGCTTCTTTAGTTGTCTAAGAAGTACCCTAAATTCCTTGTATCTAAGCGGAATTAAAAATCTCAGTACAACCCAACTTGACCCAGCCTAACCTAATTCACTATTATTATTCCTTATTTCAGTGAATGGCAACACCATCTATTCTATTACACTGCACAGGATATTAAGAGTCCCTACTCTCATTTATATTATACCTCTTATTACAACTTGGTATTAAATTTCTGTCTTACTTAGTTTGGTCTTCTGCAACAAAGTACCATAGACTAGGTGGCTTGTAAAGAAAGAAATTTATTTCTTACAGTTCTGGAGTCTGAAATCACACTGCCAACATGGTTAGATTGTTGTGAGGACTCTCTTCCAGGCTGCAGACTGCTGTCTTCTTTGTAGTCTCTCCTGGCAGGAAGAGGGTGAGAAAGCTCTCTGGTTCCCCTTTTATAAGGATACTAATGCTACTCATAAGGGCTCTACTATTTCTATTTGAATGATAAAATAAACTTATAAACTTAGAAAACTTATAAACCCTTGCACATGTAAAATTAAACAAAATAATTATCTTTTGCATTTTTCTATTTGCAAATGAATCTCTGGACATGTTTACAAATGTGGCTTTACTTTTTATAGTTTTGCAAATACACATTGCAAAAGACCCCTATTTTAAAATTAGTGGGAGTAAAGAAAAACAACAGAATATGCTGACCCTTTCCCCAGGACGTCTGACTTCATGTTGTGGCAAATGTTATTTTTAAGGGCTCCCTTATTTTAGAAGTTGTGAGATTCTTTGAGTTTTTGGCTGTTTTCTGACTCAAATCTTATCCTGTGTTTGTGTCTTAATACTGAGTCTGATTAATGTTCCTTAACTTGTTTATATTTATTGGAATATGAGAATGGGCATAAGGAAAACAGGTTTTGAAGGGCTTTACCACTTCAAAGTAAAGCCCTTTGAAGGGAAAGTAGCATTACTCGAGATCCAGTTATGCTTAGATAATTATGCTGGGTAATTGTATACATGGATTATTATATAATTATATACATGGATTTATATACACGGATTCACTATGTGTTGTCCCACTATATGCCTTCTGTGTAATTGCCTATATTCTAACTGTAGGGCTTCTAGAGTTTAATAACTTACCTAAAATCACACACTTAGTAAGTAATAGAAAATAGTAAGTTCTTGACTCCATAACTTTTGTCTTTTGATCATAACATTTACTGGATCTTACTCTTTGAATAGCATTCTCAGGAGAATAAGTTAGAAGGGTTATATAGTCAGGTTTTTCAGGGGATGAGTCCTGTTTAACCTAAGTTCTGTTACCCTTTGATACCATGATGTTTTTATTGTTAGCTTCAGGCTACAGTCTTGAAAATGTTAAGTATATTTATGTAACTGAAGAGTAATTGCTAATTCTCAGTAATTCAGACATTGGTAGGGCTGAAGGTTTCCTTTGAATTATATGTTACAATATTTTGTCAAACAAATAGTCTCAGGTAGAGTGAAATGTTGCATATCAATTTCTCAGTTTTTCTTGAACATTTCCTTTTTTGTATGCTTGTATATGTATCTACACATACATGTTTAAATACATACATAGTTAAAAGCAATTTTTACCTAGATTTAATAATAGACTTAGAATTATCTTTATAACACTTTTTTTATATATACTGCCTTACTTGAAAGTAAAAAAATAATAAAATTCACAAATATAAAATAGATTCTTCACAAATACAAAAATATTTTATATTAGGTGTTCACATTCTTAAATTATTTCTAAATTAATGGAATTCTACTGAATTTTTACTTTTAATAAAAATTTCATTATTCATCTTATCAAAATATGGGACTAAAATACAGTCCTTTAAGTTTGAATTTAATATAAATGCCTCTAAAACATCTTCTAATAACAGTGCAAAAATAAATTATATGAGAAATAATTTGATAGCTTCAATTTCTATAGTTGAATTATATGAAGTACAAAATAAACTTTAAGAGTAACTTTTATGTTGATACTAAATTCATCCTAACAAGAGCAAAGCTTACATAAGTAATACAAGTCTTGGTTGAAATGTACCTATTTCAGAATTTTATTTAAAAAGATAGAATGAAACAAATAAAACTAAATTACTCATTTAATTCTATAGCATATTTATTCAAATGGGAATAATATCAGTGTTTTTCTGATTTATGGTACTTGACCATTATAAAAAAGTTTATGGGAAAATATACCAAGTATATGTTATTTATGACTCAGTGGCATAAAGAATTAGTGAAATTACTATTGGCATAAATTTTTGATTTACAAAAAGTAAATGATTATTCAATTTTATTATTTTGTCATCTCAACTTGTTTCATATCGTCTTCACTTAGTGTTGTAAATTACTATATATCTTATAAAATTATAACTCTTAGAACTATGCAGAATCTCAGAGATCATTTAATTCAACCTTCTTGCCTTTCAAATTATGTGATATCTGAGGCCCAGAAATTTTAAGAGACTTGCAAGATGGTATGTCTAGTCTCTGGTAAAGGTAAGATTTAAATAATCTGGAATAATGTTCTGGTCTCCAAATTGAAGTTCTTATCTTTCTTATGTTCTTTGGCTCAGAAATTTTATATTCTGTGTATTAAGACATAAATTGTCACATGTCTCATGAAGCTTACACTTTTGTGGAGAAGACCAATATAGAATTAAAAAAAATTGCCAATTATGATAATTGCTATGAAAGAAGGAAATAAAGGTTCAGACAGAAGAATAACAGAGGCGCACGTACTTCAGACAGGTAGTCCTAGGAGGTGAAAAGAAGATGCCTTGCACGTGGAGAGTGATGGAAAGAGTGTTCAGTGGTGGGAGTAGCATATGCAGAAGTCCTGATGGCTTCCATGGTTGAGATTTATTCATGGCTGCCTATGCACCGACTATTACATAACCATGCATTTACTGTAATTTCCTACCTATTAAAAAATACTTTTCTTTTTTGATCAATGGTGTTATAAACATATAAAATAATTGTTTCATATGTTATAGTCATAGCATCAGTACTTTTAAAAGTAATTATTGAACAAAAAGAACATGTTAATATGTGTGAAATTATGTCATACATAAGGGCTCAATGGGATTAATTAGAAGAAGCTAATTTTGCTCATTGCTTTCATGTTCAGAAATGTTGATTTTTAAAAAGCACTGGAGGTGTATCTCCCTCGCAGGTATTACTGTCATTAAAAACACTAACCTCTAACCTAGGACATTTACATTTTAACCTTATTCTTACTGTTAGCATTGTTCCTCCAAGTGTCTAAGTGATTGCTGGTACCATACAGGGCAAGGGGTACTTATAACTCCTGATGGAGAATAGAGAAGACATTTCACCAAAATGGGTTATTCAGGACATAGGACATGATAAAAACCTTACCTCTCCAGAAGAAAGCATATTGTAGCAGCAATGATATATATTTTTTAATTAAATTTTTTATTTTGATATGATTATGTTTGATATGTGGTTATAAGAAATAATACAGAGAGATGTCATGTACTCTATACTGTTTCTCCCAATTATAACATCTTGAAGAACTTTAAAATAGTATCATAGCCCAGAAATTGTCACTGATGCAGCTAAGAGAGAGAACACTTTTCATCACTGTGAGAGGATCCTTCATAGTGTACTTTTTAAGCCACATTTCCTTCTGTTCTCCTACCTTCTTCTTAACCCCTGGCAAACATAAGTCTGTTCTCCGTTTCTACAGACTTGTCTCTTCAAGAATCTCGTATAAATGGAGTCATACTGCATGCAACCTTTTGGGGTTAGCTTTTCACACAGCATAATTCTAGGTAGATTCATGCAGCTACTTTAATCTTTTTTACCGTTGAATAGTACAGTTTTCTATGGTATGTATATTAGTTTCCTAGGGCTGCCATAGTAAAAAGGAAGGTGCTTCCTTGTGTGGATAGTTATTAAATTTGGTGTTTGTGCAGAGACAAGTATTGAAGATTTCTATTTGGCCATCTTGTTCCACTCCCTTCTCTCAATTTGTATGGCAAATTGGATGACTTAAAACAACATAAGTTTATTCTTTCCCAGTCCTGGAGGCCAAAAGTCTGGAATCAGTTGTTGGCAGAGCTGAGTCCTTCTGAGGACTCTAAAAGGAGAATGTGTTTCATGCTTGTGATGGCGGCAATGCTTGACATTGCTTTGTTTCTAGGAGCATCACTGCAGTCTCTGCCTCCTCCTTCATATGGTGATATGCCTGTGTGTCTCTCTCTATCTGAATTTCCCTTTTCATAAGGACAACAGTCATATAGATTAAGGGTCCATCCTACTCCAGCATAACCTCATCTTAACTAATTACATCTGCATCAACATTACTTCCCAATAGGGTCACATTGTGAGGTTGTAGGAGTTGGGATTTGAACATATCTCTTTGGAGAATGCAATTCAACCCATGAAAGTGCATGTTATAGTTTTAGGCTGCTACAAATAAACATTCATGTATGAGTTTTTCTGTGAACATACATTGTAATTTTCCTGGGAAATTTCTAGTTGTGTGGCAATTGCATGTTTAATTATTAAATGCCTTGAAGTATCTTGTTTGGATTTAATCTGCTTGGTGTTCTATGACCTTTTTATACCTGGATATTGAGATCTTTCTCTAGATTGGGATGTTCTTTTTTATTATTTCTTTGGACTACACTTCTAGTTTCTCTTTCTACCTCCTCTTTAAGGCCAATAACGCTTAGATTTGCCTTTTAGAGGCTATTTTTTAGATCTTGTAGGCATGCTTCATTCTGTTTTAGTCTTTCTTCCTTTTTGGTCTTCATGAGTGTGTATTTTTAAATAGCTTGTCTTCAAGCTCATTCTTCGGCTTGATCAATTATGCTGTTGAGAGACTCTGATGTATTTTTATGTTTGGCCATTTCATTTTTCAGTTCTAGTATTTCTGCTTTTTAACATTATTAGTTCTAATATTTCTGCTATTTAAAATTATTATTTCAACTTATTTGTTAAAATTCTTTGATAGGCTTCTGAATTTCTTCTGTGTTGTCTTGTAGTTCATTGAACTTTTTGAAGATAGCTATTTTGAATTCTTTTCTAAAAGATAAGATATTGCCCACACTCCTAGTTCAGTTGCTATTACCTTATTTAGTTGATTAGGGAAGGTCATATTTTTTAGATGTTCTTGATGCTTGTTCATATCTAATTTCTGGTTCTTCTGAAGGTGCTTCCTTGTGTGGATAATTATTAAATTTGGTGTTTGTGCAGAGACAATTATTGAAGGTTTCTATTTGGCCATCTTGTTCCACTCCCTTCTCTGAAGAGTACTAATATTTTCCCACATTTTTGAAATCAAGTATCTTTTTTGTTTTTCAGTATATGTAAATGTATTTTTAATGCTTTAACGTGTATATTTCAAAATATTTCTTATACTGTCATCGGTGTGATTTGTGGGTAGTGGCGATGTAGGAGTTGCAAAGAAGAAACCTTCACGAAACTTGAAATAGTGGGTGTAATCTTTTCTCTCACATTGTTCTTAGACATTCATGTTCATCAGATTGTTTTAAAAATCAACTTTTTCTCAGGAGATAACTGAGATATTAAGAATTTCCATTAAATGTTAAGAAGAAGTTACCAATTCATAAGCAAACCAGCATGAACTTATTAAGAAATATTTATAGATTTTGAACACAGGTCAGAGACATTTGAATGATGATTATGTAAAGCAAACTACCATTTATTGAATTCTAATAGGGTGAATGGTCTGTCCTCTGGACATTGCTAGGTCTATTAAAAATACTCTTCACTGTTTTGTTAGAACACTCACCTGAATCTCATTATAACTGAAGCCATTTCAGCTTTTTTACTAGCATTCACTGAGATTACACTGTGTTCAATTAGATTGCAACTTAGTTTTCAAAATATTGGTTGGCATGATATTTATAAATAAATCTCCCTTTGTGTGTGTTACTTCTGTCTATAAATACCTATCAAATTTTTGTTAAGCCTGATAAATTTCAATTTTAAAAGATGGCATTTTCTGGCCTTATTTTCCAATTCTGCAGCTTTTCCTAATTTATAATCTACTTTCTATTACATATTAATAATGTAATTTTAGCAATACATGGCACAGTTCTTTTAAGATATTATATAATCTCTAGGAGAGATGTTTTCAGAGGTGTTTCCACCAGTATAACCAGTATTGCTACTTGGTTACTAGTGGCCTTAATGTGGGCAAATTAGTTTGAAATTCCCATTGATGGCAGCCTCCAAGGGGTAAAAAGTCACAATGAGGCAGAGTGGCCTGTGTAGTTCTCTAAAGGAGGGATGGGAATGTCTTTGTACTGGTGAGACTGCAAATACTTGGAGTCTTATGTTTTGCTCATTCCCTCAATCACATCTCAATCCTTGGTCCTTGTCATATCAGCTTTTCCTGACTCCAAGCACATAACATACACATAAGCTTTAGGGCCCAGGCTGCCACCTTGCTTTGATTTATTTTGCCCTGGGTACAGATTTAACCCTAGCTATATTGCCTGTGAGATATAAAGTAAATTCAAGATTTTATTTCTGTCATTTTAATTCATTTTGGCCCTATACTTCTGGACTTAAGTGCATGTGCTCTGTGAGGAATCTGATTTAGCTAAAATAAAATGAGAACCATAGATAATATGTTTGAAAGCATCTTGAATTTGGCTTTTACCTCTAAATATTGCCTTCTATTTGGTTAATGCTAGTATTTTATGGATGTTTTGATGACTTAAAATCCGTTTAGTTTCATATTTCTTGTGCCCCTGAAGGACTCTTATGAAGAGGAAAATGAAAGAAAGTAAAAGCATAATCTTCACATGTGTGGTTTCCTGTAATGTCTTTTTAAAGAAGTTGAAATAATTTATATTTAATTTATTTTCTTATAGTATTGTGCTTCTGCTAAGCCAAAAACAGACACTTGAAGAATTGAAACAGTCAATCCAGCAGCTGAGATGCACTGAGGCAAAGTTTGCAGCACAGAAAGAATTACTAGAGCAAAAAGTACAAGAAAATGATGGGAAGGAGCCACCTCCAGTAGTAAATTATGAAGAAGATGCCCGATCAGTTACATCTATGGTAAGCTGAAGAGTAATGCAATCAGGAACTTGAAAGAATAGTGTTTAGGTAATAAGTGAATATAAACAGTAATTCCAGTTTGCTATAACAAATTATTACTCTTGTTAATATGCAGGTCCTATTAAACTTGTTTCTAAATGCAAAATAGACTTGTCAGTCACCTCAGGTCACCTGGAGAGAACTTTCAGGAACCACCTAGAGAGTCAGAGGAAAAAATTCTTCTCTTGTCTTCAAAACTGAAAAGAAAGACTGCAGTTGTTTTAATTCCTTGGAGACAGCAGGAAGGTAGGGTGTTATTGTTAAGATAGAAGTAAGAAATGAGGAGAAAGATGTTTATTAATTCTTTTCTTCTTAAGTAGAATCTAACTTACCTGAGATTGGCAGTATGTTTATTGTTTTTACAATGCAGAATATTGGTTTTGTTTAACTTTTTTTTTAATATAAGTATCATACTTAAACTACAATAGATACATTCAAAGTTACCAACTTGAAATTCTACTTTATGTTATAGTTTCATTAACTGTTTAAGAATGCCCAGTATAAACTAACTCTTTATTTTTTTTCCTCTCCTCCCCTTTTCCCCTCCCCTTTGTCTCCCTCTCTCTATTTTTATCTCTATCTCAATTTTTTTCTTTCTTTCCTCTGTTTATCTATGTTGCTGGTTTTCACTGAGGGGCCCTTTTGCAGCCCAGGGGCATTGGCAGTGTCTCCAGAAATTTTTTGATGGTCACACCAATGGGTGCTGTTGGTGTCTAGTGAGTAGAGGCTGGTGATGCTGGTAAATATCTTAGAATGCACAAAATAGCCCCTTCCTTCACACTCCCAAGAAAAAATTATCCAGCCCCAAATTTGTGCCTAAGTTTAAAAGTCTGAGCTATATCCTTGGCTTTTTCTATGGGTAGCTGGATATAGTCCATAAATGGACTTATTATAATTAATGATGCTGATATTAATTTTTACTTTGTTTCTGAGTACTATGATTTCATTGTTAAATTGATTCAAGAAAAAAAGGCTGTATCTAAAACTGTGACAAGTGTAGAAATGAAAATGAAGTCTTAAACTATTGTGGTTATTGCTTATTTTTTTTTATTAATTAAGCCATACTAATCAACATTTATTGTGGGAATTGTGAATTATAATTCCATATTCTCCTTTACTCTCCTACCTATAAGGATTTTATCTTATGTACCAAGGACCCTATTAAATCTCCTTCATGCTTTGTGACTCTTGATAACTATCTGTCATGCACATTCTTCAGAGGAACTTCTGAAATTTTTTCCCCTTTGCTTGGCTTTTGGTCCCTTATCTAGTAGGTCTTGTGTTCTCTGAATGTGATTTATAATATTTCCCTGTCTTCATACAGGTATGAAATTGGTGACTTAAAGGCTTGACTTAGTGGCAGATTGGATAAAACTGGCCGTCTATAATTATTTTAATAATTTTTAATGGAGATAACCTATGTTGGCAGTATTATAATACAATAAAAGATAGTTATTCAAGTTGCTAGATGATAGCAATCCCCATTTGATAACTCTGATTAAAAATCTTGCTTTTGAATGTAAAATATGATAGTTCATTAATTCTTATTTTATTAAGAATTTATGATCATTTGGAGTTTAATCTTTTATAAACATTGTAGAAAATCTTTGTTCAACGAATGAGTTAAATAAATAATAATTCAGAAAGAGTGTGTAATACAGTTCTAAAGAACAAATTGCTTTCTGGCACCTTCAGGCTCTTCTCTGATACCCACTTATTAATTAGGGATAATAACTTGTATATTTTTGAGGAACAACATTGCATATTTCATTTTATACAATTTATTTTAAACACTTGAAATATTAATTGTAAGTTTTATCTGTTTATTAGGGTAATGCTTTCAGTAAATCTTCAAGAAATTTTTACAAAAGAATATGTAGTTTAAAGTATTTAATATTTTACAAATCAGACAGGTTGTATCTCAAACTGCTGCCAATTTATGAGATTTTATAGTATTTTTTCAGAGCGAGTAGAAGTAATTGCAATGCATAGTACTTAAAAGTTAGTACTTTCACCTATATTAGTGAAATCTTTGCATAATTCATGTTTTTCATAATTAAAGTATTGCTTTTTGGTTTACACAAAAACAATAAAAATATTATAACTTTGAATTGTTTCTTCTCAAATGATTATATATGCTTTGTTTTATGAAAACATTTTAAGAAAAGCCTAGAATTAATGTAAGCAGTTTTATTAGGATTTTCTCTTTATAAATGGTTTTATATAAAATTTTAGCAAGAGATGAATAATGGAAGATTTTAGGAACTAAAAATTAAACTATGATATCATGGAAACTTGCAAAACCTTGGCCTAAGCATTTTTTGAGAGTAGGAGAGACAGTGAACTAGTTTCTGTGATCTTGGTCGACTAAGACACTGGCACTTAAGTGGCAGATGCTTCTGTGGAAGAGTGTGTTTAGGAACTAGATAAAGTCAGACAATTCAGTTCCCCAACTCATCTTAGAAAAAATGCTATATACCTTTAGAGGTGACAGTAGTGATGTTTAGCAATGAGATATGCAGCACTTTTTCTAGGATGCATGTGGACTTATTGTCTAACCTTGTACAACATAGCTCTGATGGCCATTCCAGAAAAAGAGTTCCAAATTGCTTTGAAGGGTGGACTAGGCACTGGCCTTGGTGCATAGCTTCTTGACGAGAGTACTTCAAAGTTGGCTATTGTGATATTCAGCAACGAGGTATATAGCACTTTTTCTAGGATGAGTTGCAAACTTGATTGTCCTGACATTGTATCATTGAGTGTTCTTATAAAAATTCCAGGTGATTCAGCTCTATAATCAGGGTTAGGGTTGTATAGTAAGATATTTAGATGTATTGATATTTATTTTGGCTCAATAAAAGTTAAAGCTAGTTATGATTTGAATGTTTGTTCCCTTCAAATTGCATGTTGAAATTTAAATGCCATTTAACAGTATTAAGATGGAGACCTTTGGGAAGTGGTTAGCCTTCATGGCATACCCTTCATTGCCTAACCACTTCTCAAAGGTCTCCATCTTAGTACACAATTATAAGTGCAAGTCAGGACAAATATCATTAAGAAGGTGACATTTTAACAAGACTGTAAATGGGGAGCTAGTAAGCCACTTTGATTTCTGGGGAAAGAGCCTTCCAGCCAGAGGGTGTGTCCATTGGTAAAGAAACGTGTCTGCACTGTTGAAGATTTAGCAAGGAGGCCCGAGTGGTGGGAAGGTGACAATATAGGGAATGAGTTTAGAAACAGAATGGGGAACAGATCTTGGGGTGTTGGATTATGGCTTTTCTCTTATTGAAATAGGGAACTTTAGGGTGAGGGGTTATAACACAGGAATGAACATACCCTCACTTTTGATTTAAATTGGATCACTATGGCCACTGTATTGAGAATGTACATAAGGGAAGCAAGGTTAGAAGAAGGGAGCTCTCGCAGCCATCCAGGATATAGAAGATGACAATCTGAGCAAGGATGGTAAGGGATTGCTGTTGGCCAGAATTGTTTAGCTCCTGGATGTATTTTGATGGTTGAGCCCTTGAGATTTCCTTGGAGTGTGGGATATGAGAAACAGAAGTCAAGGGTGATTTTAAGTTTTTTTGGCCAGAGAAATGGAGGGATGGGATAGGTTTTGAGTAAGATAAAAAGACTACACATAGAACAGCTTTGGAAGATAGGTTGTTAAAGGTTTTTAAATCAGTTGATGGTGACATAATAGATTAGATAGTTGAATCTTAAAATTGTTGAATTCACCATTATTTATTTCCTCTAGTCCATGACACTATTAGCAGAATCAGTAATTAGAGTGAGGTACCTTTAATGATATACCCTGTAAGGGAATATAATGCATAATAATTGTTTTGTGTCTGCCACAATAATAAAAATTTGCCATTTTGTAAACCTTAATATTATTTTTTAGAAAATAATTTTGGACTACTAGTAGAATAACCTTTTACAACCATTTATCATAGTTGCAAATGGGAGGATGTAACATGAACCTTATTTGCAAAGGTTATGTCTCCCAATTTAAGAGCGTGTTTGTAACTCTTAATAGTGTTGGAAAGTGTTGGATAGTGTTGGAAAGATTAGTCTTTTCAGTTATTCCCTGAAGCTTATAGATTACCAGAGGGAAGTAAATTCATTTGAACTTTGGTAGTACTCTGTTGAAGAGGAGGAAATGAATCATAAGAATATGTATCTTTAGTGCAATTTTAGCTAAAATATCTTTTAGGCTATTATAATTTCAAAAGGAGAAGTGCAATTATAATTTATGGAAGAACTTCCTAACTGTGCCAGTGACATTAATTCTTTTGGGCTCATAGTAGTACTGCTCTGAGTTCCATATTGATTTGATCAAATAGATTAGATAAATTCTTTGGGGGTGTGTGTGTGTGTGTGTTAAAGTTCCATTATTTGTGGTATGTTAAGAAGTATTCCAAGGAGAAATGAGTTCCAGAATTTGGGTCATGTTGGGTTAAGCCAGAAGAAACAGTAATATTGACTGCAGGAATTTTCTAAGCCTTTAATATCAAATGCCCAAGAGGGGAAGTAGCATATGGAATACAGTGTTTCTGAAAACATTGTCCTAACCTCCTTTCAAAGAGCCTCATGAAGAGACCATAGCAGAATGGAGCATATTTTGGGAAATGACGAATTATAGGATAAATTCTTTCTCATCAAATTGGGATAATAACAGATTATATGTGTTAATAATTCTGAAAACATTTTGAATTGCTTAAGTGCTTTATAAACTCAAGGGTTATTTTATAAAATACTTCAATTCTAGCTCTCTTCAGAGTAGAAGAATCTGCCTTCTAGGGCAGATTTTAATGCAAGTGAACTCTTTGTTGGCTGCCCTTGCCTAGTGCTGAGAATACCAGAATTTTCTAATCTTTGAGTAAACATCAGCTGCTGACTTCCCTATTGTATTATATTTATTTACTTAAAAACACTTTATTCATGTTTGGTTTTTA